CTAAGGAGGAAACTGATGGATTGATATTCTGACGAAAAGATTTACTCAGTCTTTCTTCTTCATCACTGTGACAGAAGCTAGTAGAGGTATTAGTGACATATTACTTTATTAAGGATCTCACAACATCTCTAATGGAATATCAGGCTAATATGCTCCTTCTTATTTCCTGTGTGTAGAAATTAAACTAAGAATTTAAGTAAAATGCACAGAACTGCCATCCACCTTCTGGTAAAGCTAGCTGATAGAAATATAACTTGGCTAGCATATACATTGTACTTAATAAAAGTCTTTAAACTCGGTGAATACATATTTCTGATGCAAATAAAGTCATATCTCAGGCTGGTATTCATCATGGACCAACGTCGGTTCGAGAAACGTCGGAAACCTGAGAGCACTGGATAGCCTTTTCGTCCCAGTATGGGACTTCTTAGTAATCTGCAACCATGACCCCACCAGGGGTCCAACCGAAGGCCTTCAGGTCCCGTGACCACACGTTACTACTGAACCTACCTGTGTTGGTTCACGATATAGAGCGCCATCACCGAGTAACTGTCCTCATGCTCGACTTGGTTGGTCCCACTGATCACGTAAAAGCTTTCCTATGCTCCTAGGCTCCCACTGTTTCTCCAACTGATGTCAGTCTATGATGAATACAAACCTGAAATCAATAGATCTCCACAAACCCTAAAATTTGAAGTCATATCTATATGTGAGTTCATTAGATTTACGATGATAGTCCAAACGGTTAAAAAGACAAATGGGCTTACAACTCAACCATCTGTGGGTTTACGTTCAGACATTATTTTTCCGGTTAGAAATAATCCATTCAAATGAAATTTAATTCACAGCATAGTGATGACGGTATTTATTGAAAGAAAAGAACCAATTTTATCAAATCAAATAAGAATGGATACATGTATACAGAAAATTTTCGATATTGACTAGTATATTAATCGGTTATCGTATGAATGATCTTCATGAATGATACTGTCACGTAGTACACGAACTCCGTCATTTATCCGTCAAATCACCATTCTATTCTACTTGTTTCAATGAAAAGTTTGCTGAAATATAAACTTCTTAGAATAGATGAGTTTTAACACTAATAATAATTGTTTACGAAAGTGTATCAGTTAATCCAATCTCTTTAAAATTTTCCAGATACCAAAAGAATTTCTAATGGTGATAACACTCAATTGTTTTCATCTTCGGTTATTTGTATACTTTTTTTGGATTGTTTTGTAGTTCTGTGAAAACAAGATTTCATTTCTGTTGCTGTTGTTATCTTTATTGTTGTTCTTTAAATTTTGTAAATGAATTTTGATTTACTCGCGAATGTGTACGGATTTATGATAGAGGAATAGTAACTTGATTGATTTGTAGTGGAGACAAATTAAGTTTAGTGCCGAGATAGTCAATACACAACAAGCAACCAGAATAGTTTGCTTTTAGAAAGTAAAGTTGTACCAAGCGTTTGCTTTTCGAAATTATTAAGAAGTGAAACAATTAGGATTGATAATGCACTGACTATTTACGGTATAATTCGACAGTATACAAATAGATAGGTATGCGATAATTGAGTGAAGATAGGTTAAGTGAGATCAGCAAAATTAACCATATGTTTAATAAAGTAAAGATTGTGAAAATGAATGTCATGTAAAAATTATTTCCAAACAACAAATACAACCATTGTATGCCATACTGATCTATTTACTCATTCAGTGTTATGGACTTTTACGAGAGTGATTTCCAGTAATGTAAGAGTATAACTTGGTTGCTATTGTAGATTAGATTAATTTACTTGATAGAACACGCAGCTAAAGGATATTATTTAGGTGATAACGTTTCAGGCATCAAAATCTAGCGAAATGTAGATTGATAGACCCTACTAAGATAAGCAATCTGCAAAAATGTTTGGCTATCATCCTGCATACACTGGCTCATGATCACACTAAATTGTGAGGATACAGTGATAGTTCTAAGATCCAGTTAAGCTAGGTAGAAGCAGAGACTGACTAAAGAATCATCATTAGTTGAATAAATTTAACAGGTATTTGGAAATTTTCATTAACTTTGAAATAAAGGAATAAATAACTTTTGGAATGTAAAGGTGAAGTCTTGAGGTTATGTGATTACACCGATACGAATATAAGCAATAAATTGTGCTCAAATAAAAATCCAGTTAATAATACTTCATTACAGTTTACTATGTCAAATAAATTAACCCAATATGGGACCATTTTTGGCCTTTTGATAAAATGTTTATTGATACTGATCGGTAAGTGGACAGTAAACAATTTCATGTTGTCTGTTCCTGAGTGCTAACAAAATTCTATCGACCATTTCGCAATATGGCCATCGAGCTGTGAAACTCACCAATATAGTGCACTGGAATATATGTTAGTCGATTGAAAACCACTACTCAATAGAATGCAGGTATATTTAGTTGAAAAGTCCCAAGTAGGATTAAATATTCTTTCTGAACTGGATTATTAACCACCACTAGGCAAATTATATATTGGAGGATAATATACGGCCTGTCTATGAGGCCTTCAGAGATAGACACTTCAGTAAACAGCAACTTACCTTGAGATAGGAAGATGTCTAGATAACCCAGTCAACTTAGCATACAGGAAGAAGACTGATTTACTGATCATGAACTCAAAATACTCAATCTTCTGGACATTCTAAATCAAAATCTCAAGAAGTTCAATATCTTTCATGCACTATAGAAGTTAGTGTTGTCGAAATGATCTGTATTTTAATCATAAGAAGTAAAATCTGAATACTCTACATGTTGTACTTTATTCGGCAGGTGCATTTATTTTTGTATATCTACTACTAACTAAATCCAGGATAAAATAACCGAATATTTCAGGGGTATTTGCTATATGTAACTGTCTCTGAAGAGGTTAAAATGTTAAACCAAGTATTTGGAATGAGATGTTAGAGCGATTGCGTGATAAGCGCTACCCTATAGTTAAGCAACCTAGCTAGTGAGTTAGGAAACCATGCGAAGTGTAATACCTTTTGACCATTACTTTTTTTAGGGCACCGAATGCACCTACCCAATAGTTTGGTGAACAATGTAGACTTATGAAATTAGTGAACTTCAATATTAGGAGTCATTTGTAGTGACAGTTTTCTTCAGTTTGATATGATTAATCAATAATGATGAATTCTCAATGAACTGAAAAGCTCATGTTTAAATCAGGTTATTGACGATATTCATCTAATCTAGGTTAAGAATACCAAGTTAGTTTACCAAGGTGAGTATTAAAGACTAAAAAGATGAAAATTGTACCTATATTAACGGTCCTTACATTCATATTGCTTCTCTTAAAGAAACTCTCTAGTTTTCCGCAATATATTCAACACATTTTACAGCAAATGAGAAATATTTAAAGTCTACGGTATTTATACCACTGGTTTCGAGTATTCTTCTAAGGCATAAAATACTGGAAGACCTAGAGTTCGAGTTCCTGTGAGATTTTGAGTGAGAACTGCTTAGTTAATAGCCAGGGTTAGACGTATGTATACTGTATTTTAGTTGTCAGGAGTGCTTCATTTATCGCCACTGTCGATGGAAAATATCATCATTAACGCTTTCAAACGATATCCAATTTCAATCGCTGTTTACTATCCAAGAAAGAGGAATTCCATTCAAAGCGATCTTGAAAATGTTATATTTTCAGTGAAAGGAAGAAACTGACTTCTCTTGTAAAGCATCTACGCAAAATTCCAGATGTTTCTTTGTTCAAAGTATTTTAGCTTCAATTCCTGATCTCCGATTATCCCTTAAACTAATATGCTTATACATATTACACTTCTCTATGTGAAACTCAAGGACTGAACAGAAACCATAAACTGAATATCGCATTTAGACTGGTTCAATGAAATAATCTTCAGCAAAAGTGTAGTTATATTTCCCGAGTGCACGCTCTACATAAATAGAGATATTACAGCCATTTTCAGATTGACTTTTTCTATGACTATATATTTATTTTATTTGAAAAATATTCCAATATCTCGCTAGACATGATCAACAAAACTTCACGGTTTATATGTACAGAGATGATAAATGAGGAAAGAATGAAACCGTGTATTGTTGTAACAGCTGGAAATTCAGCCTCCAAATTTATGGCATGCTACGTCATTTACTGAGCGAAGTTCCTAATTTCTTCCAAACTATTATATACATTTTAAACTGATCATTGTCATGAGGAACATTTGGGTAGTTATGACTTCCAAATGCAGATTTTTTTCTTGAGAGGAGGTGTTTACCTCTTTGTTTTTCTTCTGTAAGCTTTCTTATTGTTTTAAAGTAACTCGAATAAGAAACAAAATTTTAGCACACCACCGTTTGCCAAAATTGTCAGAAAGGTACCCAGAAAATATAAACGAAATGATGAAAAACTTTGCGGTGTTTCTTTTAAAAGTCTGAATGTCACCGATAGCTGTGGAAACTGTTTTTATTAATTAGCAATCTGAGCACCAGTAATGAAATAATGAAGTAACCCTTCTTCTCCTCTACAGGAACATCTTGCAGTTTGGTAGCAACATAGTATAAATTTTCCATTGTGGAAAATTTGTAGTCAAATATCTCATGAAAAACCATCTTTGTCTTGTCACTGGGTTCCACAAAATATTGGGTTTCACATTCAGGAAGTAGAGTGAATTGAAAAAAGCAGTAAGGTTAAAGAGTTTCGAGGTGACCGAAATTTCATCGTGAAGCTTCATAAATTAAGTAAGCGTCAGCTAGAAGCCAGTCACTCAACAGCGCATTCGTTCATGGTGTAGGAGAACTGAGGAGTGTTCAAGATAACAATTCTATTGGTACACTGTACTGATGATTACGGAACAGTGTGGAGGTTTCTTGGTGGTTAGTCACACTTCCATCAAACTTGACAGGAAAAAATTTTCAACTAAAGACAATCTATTTGATAGAATAAATTCAATAAGTTAAACATCAAATGTTAAAATTTTTTGAATGCACTTACCATATAGGCGATTCAACCATTCCCTTTCAAACTTTGTGCTACATGCCAATGGGTTTTTAATCCCAGCTCCATTATTTATAAATTCGACTGGACCAATACTTTTTAATAGATCAAGTGTTAATGAAGTCTGGAGAAATGTAAAAATTAACAAGGGTGACGTGAGACATTCAGATATTATGATAAATTGCTTGAAGTACAACATACTCAAAAAAGATTATTATACAGTAAGTACATGTGGCATTTTTAACTAATAGTGTACCCTAGATAACAAAAAATTATTCACTGTTCAACGAGATCCGGCAACAGCCTTTTGTGTAACTAAGTGAATTATTGTCGTCTGATACTTGTTATTTCCCGTGGCTATAATTGATCGAATTACTCGACCTCTGTTGGGAGATGAGCTTCTACCTGGATGCATCGATACTACCATACATTCATGATAGGACCCCATCTGTCGACAGAGGTTAGTCAATACAACCCAGTGTGACAACGAGAAATCATAAGTATGGAACAGCAACAAGTGGTGGCTCTCATGACCCAGTGACCTAATGGACTTCACATTGGCATTTGAAGTGATGGGTACTGGGTTCGAGTTTCAGTGGGAATTAACATCACTCACTGAGGTACAGGTACATCCACTAGACGATTCCTAAATAGGATGAAACACGTGTCCTGGATTCCACTGCTACTCACCAAGATGAATATTAGTGAAACATGTTTAATTAATGACAGTGTGTGACTGCGTAGGAATTATGCAAACCCCTAAAAAACTGTTATTTCATTATCATTATAACTAATTAGCTGAACTGATGCCAAAGATTGATGAAAGCCTAGAAGAAAATGACAACTCACATTATTCATCAAAATCAAGGGAAGTTTCTACAAACCATATGGCTAAATATAGTCTCTCCGCAAAAGAAGAACAACTGGTTTTCTCCAAAATTCTATTTTAACCATAAACTTTTCTAGGATAAACCAAAGCAAAAAGGCGATAAAACTCTGCTGAAAGGCTCTACGTCTTACAGGTGTTGATGTTTGCTGTAGAGCAGAAATCCAAGATCTGATATGTTGAAGAAATCTGTATCTTTTGTCACTGAATGATTCTCATTCCCTTTGTTCAATCACATACTTCGTCAGCATCATTCATTTAAGGATTTTTATGTTTATTATTATTCACTAAAAGTAACTATTTGATAATGTGTTACCAGTTATCAGTTATGACTTTATTTAATGTACCTAATCTTTCAATATGTTCACAGTGTTAAACATTTATATGGGAATTTTCTCAATAGAAAATCTACTGAACATTCCACGCGAAGTCATCATATGCATGTGCCACTGAAAGAATAGCTTAATCTCATTGCTGCTGATAATAATAACAGAGATAATCGTAGTAAACAAGTGAGATTTAAATACCATTTCCTCGACAACTTGTAGTTGGAAGCATTGTCTTACTCGGACTAAAGTCATTCTGAGTCACAGATTTCCTTTCACAAAAATTGCAAATCCTTATCGAATCAACTGGACTATTTTAGACTGAGAAATAAAGTTTAATCTTTCAAGTTGTTATTCATCGAAGACTGACATCAGTTGGGGAAACAAAGGAAACCTGGGAGCACTGGACAGCTGTTTCGTCCTAGTATGGGACTCCTCAGCAGTGCGCACCCACGACCCCACCAGCAGAAGTTGGAAATATGGAGCATTGGATTCTGACCCAGTGGCTCAATGGTAACGTGCTGGCCGCGGAACCTGAAGGTCGCGGGTTCGATCCCTGCTGGTGGGGTCGTGGGTGCGCACTGCTGAGGAGTCCCATACTAGGACGAAACAGCTGTCCAGTGCTCCCAGGTTTCCTTTGTTTCCCCAACTGATGTCAGTCTTCGATGAATAACAACTTGAAATATTTCCAAATCTCCACAACCCCCTCAAAAAGTTTAATCTAACTGAATACTGACAAGCAGATTTTAAAATAATGGATACCTCTGTTATTCTGCTTATTTTCTGGTCACTGTATAGTTTTGACAATATTCAGCCAACGACATGAAAGATAATGAGTACGTTGACGCGAAATATTGTTTTCTTGGCTGTAAGCGGAAATATAAGTGATTATGAGTTATCAGTCACTGAAGTTCAGGTTACTTTCCAATGAGTGAACAGTTCTAAAGAAATCATCGCTAAGAATTTCCTATGATTACTTTTGATTGCTGGTACTATGATTTATGGTGAAAAATCATTCTTGCATTAGTTTTCTTACAATATTTACAAGTTACTATCGTGTCATCTATGCTTCTCTACTATCTGACAAACTAGAATCGAGTAAACACTTTCAAGGAATGCCCGTAAATATTGAAGGTGCTGACTAAAAGGGCATATTGTCAAACACTGATTTGAGTTAAAATAGTAGATAAGTTCAATAATATTCGAAAATCACTCGAAAAGGCATAAAAAAATATTTCTTTAACACACCATCTAGGTGTGAAGCAGCTAGCTGAAGGTGGAAGTATTGGGATACCACCCTATTGGATGTATCGACAAATTTGGTGTGGACATCCAGTTCTAACTTCATGATACTCATGTAAACTGATGACTTTTTATAATTAATTTATTTTCAAACTGGCAGAAAATGAAGTCCAGTTAGCTGGTAAACTACGACGCGTCTTTCAAATACATATTCATCTTAGAGATATCAAACGAACTATTGTCTTACTGATACTAGGTAATGATTGAAGGTGAAATAAAATTCAGGGTCGCAACAAGATTCAAACCAGTGGCTAGAGGTTACCGGCTCCTTGCTCTATCAACTAAGCTGTGATACCCAAATTGTCTTCTGTTCATTATTTCGAAGCATACTGATCATTGGGCATTCGTAAACAATGTTGAAATAATCTAGCACAGCGAACGATTAGACTAAAATGGTAATCAATATGATAAACTACCTAGATGTATTTAATTGTACATAAAGTCTCACCTAATCAAAACTTTTCGGAAGATATTTATGCACTGTGCTTAAATTAAGGCGGTAATATTTTGAACTCAATGCAACAAGTAGTGTGGTTTTATTAAACGTTGATATACACAACATTTGTAAGCCGTATGGTAAGTAGTTTAGTATGATAATGAAAGTCTACGTTCTTCAATAATCGAACCAGAAACTTTTAGTTGTATACTTTACATCAGTTGGAGTGTAACTAATTTCAGTATTATTTCACCTGTGACCATAAATTTCTCAAACCAATGTTCAATAAAATTATTGTTCAATGAGTTTTTCTTCAGTGAAAGTTACTGAAACTGTATAGTTTTCATATACTTATTATCACCCTTTTATTCATCCCTAGTAATTATTAAAACTATAAGCTACTGTATTTACAAAATTACCTTCTGTGTATGATCTACTGGACTTTTACTACTGAAACAGCACTTGTAATCAGTGTGAATGTAGGTTTAATTATATAAGGCAGATAGACAGCTATATTTCATCATAATAAGAAATAATAAAACCTCTGAGAGACTGTTGTAATGATGATATTTCCGTTTCATTCTGATTGTACTATCCTTAATTGGTGAACCTAAAATCTATTTCTGTCAAATTATAATTTCACTTATTTTATAATCTGCTTTCTGTCCGTAAGATCGATTTCAATCATATCTGACTTAAGTTGATATTCACCATGGACTGACATCAGTTGGAGGAAGATTGGAAACCTGGGGACACTGGACAGCTGTTTCGTCCTAGTATGGGACGCTTCAGCTATGCGCACCCACGACCCCATCAGGGATCGAACCCACAGCCTTCAGGTTCCGTGGCTAGCGCGTTACCATTGAGCCACTGGATCAGAATCCAGTCGTCCATATTTGCAACTTCTGTTAGTTCACGACATAGCACGACCGCCACCTAATATCATCGTTGAGTACTTGTCCTCACGACCACCCCACTAGTTGCGACTTCTCATTGGAATTTTGGAATCACCTCTCGAAGCTAGTCACCAATGAGCACTAGTTTAATTGAATTTGGAGGTTTGTGGGGAATTAGAGATTTTTCTAGTTGGTATTCATCATGAACTGATATCAATTGGAGGAGGACAAATACTCAACAATGATATTCGATGGCGGTCGCGCTATGTCGTGAACTGACAAAAATCGCAAATATGGACGATTGGATTCCGATCCAGTGGCTCACTGGTGGCGTGCTGGTCACGGGACCTGAAGGTCGTAGGTGTGCGTAGCTGAAGAGTCCCTTACTAGGACAAAACAGCTGTTTAGTGTTCCTCCAACTGATGTCAACCCCTGACGAATATCTCCCTGAAATCGATAAATCCCTACAAACTTCCAAACTGAAAAAATTGTAATTTTTTTTTATCCCTAGGAGTGCAAATGACTTCGCTCTGTGATGCACTTTACATTCGAGCACACTTTTTTCACATTTCTCTTATCCCAGCATAACTGCTGTCAGTTTGGATAATCACGGGAAATACTGAGTATTGAACAATCCCATCATTTTTAACAGAGAAAAACAATGGCAATAACGTTGCCCTTCGATCAACTTATTTTCAAATGGGATTTGTAGGTAATAACGTGTTGAATCGGGCCTAGGTTATTATTAGGATAATAATCAATTACTGACCACATTCCCGTTAAAAATCTAATCTGAACTAAGAATTACCTATTCGTTATTATTAGTTAAAATAAAGTTTTGCAACATGAGGCAGACTTAACTTGACCTTCAGTCATATTTTTCATTATTACTGCATGAAGGAGGAAATGTAGTCGAGAACTTTTGATAAGGACTGCAATTCATAATTTTTAAGGATTTTTAACAATGCGAAAATCAAAAATGCAGGTTTTAGAAACCTTGCCTGAGAAAACTCAAAAGTGGTTAGACTGTCATGACAGTCATTCATGGATGAGATTGGTAAATGGTTGATTCAGCTGGTGAACTTAGAGAAGTTAGAGAAAAGAAACCATAAGATTTTTATCCATACGCTTAATAGCAATATGCCATCTGTTAGAGTTTATGAACAACGACTCGGTGGGCTGATTTTTGTCCATATGATTCGATCTACGATGAGTACTTCAAAATCGTTAACAGGTATGAAAAATAAAATGACAGTTTGCAAAATCACATTGCATATG